AGCTTTCTTGGCCATGGTGTAAGTTTTGGCGTTTGGCAGAATTTCTAAGGCATTATTCAAATAATATTTGACTACTGCACTTTCAACTGATGAGCGATGAAATCACTTGGCACCGGCTACGCCAATGTTTTCCTATGGAAAGCGAGCAATTTTACGTCTTACATTTACAGCTGTAATTGAATCAAGCTCAAATATGGCAGACTTAACCACTGAGACAAAGCACTTTTCAAGAAGTATAGCAGCTTGTGCAGGCATAGAATCATCGACACATTTACTGAGACAAATGCTGCATAGTAACGTATTAGCCGTGAGACAGCTACACTATAACATGCTGACAAGGGCGGTCTTACGCTTTTTCATCACGAGATTAAGATTTTCTCAGCACTGCAAAAAAAAACAAAAAAAAAACTCTCGGTTGAATAGCTTTCAGACTTCCACAGTGGGCGCATCTTGATGACCCAAGCAACAAACTCTCAACCAGCACTCCTGTCAGATTGAATATTCAAAAATATAGACCCCGACCACGTGATACATGTACTGACTGTAAGACTCAAGTATGGATTTGGTACTGGAGATTCAGTACTTCAGCATAAGAGCAGGGATTCCACAGTGTGTAATGTGTAATGGAGGGACTGGCTTGCCAGCTTGTGTGCCGCTTTTGCCAGTGTAAAGGCCACAAGGCAGCCATGTCCTGAACATTGTGTCTGCTTAGTAACAGAAACCTGAGGGAGATGTGGCCAGACCTTTTACCAGGCCGCAATGCTGCAACTCTTCTTGCTCAGCTTAGAGTGGCCCTGCAGCCAAATTCGTTGTCCTGTTGGTTTATTAGGCCAGCTTCACACAAACGAATATAGAGGCACACACTAGTGTTTGTGGACAGGCAAACAGCACTGAATGCACACGTCACGCTTCTTACTTGAGTATTGGCTAACAGAAAAGCAACGTGATGATTCTGATGATGATTATCATCCAGTGACCTGGAAGTGAAGGCGCTATAGTTAAAACATCATCCTTGTTGCTTTGGGCAGCTTTGCGGACAGCTGAGCTCTGATTGGTCACCCTCTGGTCTTACAGCATAAGTGCTTTTAGGGTTTTCCCTACACACACACACACACACACACAGCCTCAAAGAAGCACAGAAAAATAGTATAGCACACTTCTCGGGCAATGCTTCAATTAGTTCCACAACAAGAGCACTTTATTGTTGTGTTGTGTTGTGTTGCTGTAGTACATTTAGATGGGGGTCGATAAAGAGTTTTTATTTTTTGCTGTCAAGATTGAATCCTTCACAGACCTTTCGGAAATGTTTTCCAAACACATAGTCTATTCCGGACCAAATGATATCATTAATAGTAATTCTAAACTGCAAGGTTTAATCATGCATACAAATAAAGTTAATATAACGTGCCAATTCTTTACAATTCTTTATAATTAACTTATACTTTGACAGTGCTGTTGAATTCTTCAATTTGATTGGTCAGGTGTTGATTAATTTTCGACAACACAGTAGTGCCGGTTCTGATACGTCATCATTTCTTTCCAAGTGTTTTATTCCTCACATACAGGAAGTAGTGGTTAATCATTTTGGGTGGCATTAGAAATCTGAATTCTGTCAATGTAAAAAGTAACCAAGATGGCACGTTCTTGCAGAGAGAGTTTGCAGAATAGATAGAAAAGCACAGTTTAGGGTTGAAATGGTCAGGACTGAGCTGCTCACCAAACAAATCTGCTCCCCATTTGTTTATCTACACTGTGCAAATGGTGCCACCTTCAAATTTCACCCGCGCCATTTCTCATGAAAGCTTGGTAGACTTGTAATTACACACTCATTGCGATGAACTCCGAGACATGCTGTTGATGTTAGGGCAGAGTTCTTTGTTTTTTTTTTTTTTTTTATTATTATTACTGTCTCTGACACCACCAGATGGATTGGTTCAAAGGGTCATGAAAGGATCCTCACTGCAATGTTTGCCCTGAGGTGCACTTGCCCTAACAACGGGGTTAACACAACGTGGTGGAAAGGAGTGTTAAACAACTTCCTCTCAAGCCATCCATCATGACACATCACAGGAAGGGCTGAGAGGCAACTCTTACACGCTCACGTATTGCAAATTTCGACCTGTACAGCTGCCTGATTAATCACATGTTGATCAGGACATGCCTGTGTACTATTAAACATGCTGTAGCATGTCTAAGTCACTATTTTCACTATCTTCAAAAATCACTATTTTGAAAACCACAGTGGCATATTGACTCGATTTGTGTCTGTATCAAGCATTTAAAAAAATCCACTCCACGGAATTAGCACACCTTTACAGATGTTCACCCGGATGCACACATTCACATTTATAATAAAACACTCATTACACAGGCTTTGACATACACTATATGGCCAAAAGTATGTGAACACCTGACCATCTCACCCATACGTGGTTCTTCCCGAAACTTGCCACAAATGTGGAACCACACAATTGTATAGAATGTCTTTGTGTGTTGTAGAATTACAATATCCCTTCACTGGGGCTAAGAGGCCCAATCCTGTGCTACCCCAGTGGCTGGCGTCAGTTCTCTGGCTGGGAATCGAACCCAGGCCATGGCGGTGAGAGCACCGAGGCCTAACCACTAGTCCTCCAGGGACCCATTCATTCAGCGAATAACGACTGTATATTATTTTCGTCCAAAGAGCCAACAGCTGCATCATTTTAAAACCACTCTAAGCATTACTCCTGATTTTAGGCTTCAGGCTTCTCCTCCTACTGTGCAAATCTTACTGCGAATCAGCCGCTTAAAAAAGGTCTTTTTTCTTAGTAAGGCATTGTCTTTACACATAACGTCTCCCAATTATTTCCTGGGAATCCCATCCCAGTCACAATAAACTACTGTCCAATTAATTGCCATTAAATTTCCATATAAAATGCTTTGAAAGGGGTTATGAAATCCAATAAAATCATTCTGGGTATTTAGATACCACTTAAGCAAATTAATTAAAAAAATACAGAGAGCTACATATTAAAAAAAAAAAAAAAAGAGTAATAGTCTGTCTTTATCCACCTCTCTACTTTCTTTTTCTTCACTCGTGTGTGTAACGGCCTTAGCAACGTGTCTCACTGAAATAAGATGACTAAATGTGGCGGAGCCCCCGCTGTCACTCAAACCCCTGACTGATGACGGAGAGTTTAGGGTCCAACGTCGTGAATAATTAGGACAGCAGGGTCGCTGCGATTCCCTTCTTTTGTTTTCTTAACAGCCAGATGCCTAACAAAGGAAGATACCTGGGCCTGAAGTTAGGGAGGGGGTTGCTGATATCAATCTCTGTGGCCTTCGTCTTATTGCTTAGCGAGTTCACTAACCATTACCAAACAGTTTACGATTATTTTGCGTTTAAATTTTTTTTTTTTTTTTAGCATTTAATTCTAATTTTCTCTTCGGTAGTTAGGGACTGATATCAGATTTATCCAGGCCAACTTTTATTGTAGTTTAGTTATAACATTTATTGTAAAATAACTGATATATATTATCTTAATTTATTCATAAGTTCAATATATTTCACCCCAGTTATTAGTAAAGTTTGTGTTTGTATTAACGTATACTCTCAAAAATAAAAATTATGTTCATAGGGGCATAGGTGGGATTGCAAAAAAAAAAAAAAAAAACTTTAGAGGTCATGTGACTAAAAATCACATAAAAAAAAAAATTCAAAATAAAAATACAACATTTTAACCCCTTTATTACTCTGTCATAGAACAGCCTAAACATCATCTTTTGCTTTGTAAATATATATTTTAGGCTTTAATGTCCATCAGAAAGTTGAGTAAAAAGCTTATAAACCTTCATATTGGAAAAAAAAAAAACATCATGCTGTTGTCATAGAGAGAATATAACAGTTAATTGTTTGGCAAAATAAAGTATGAATGTTTTGACTGTTTGTTCCACCAAACAAGGTGAAGATCAAATCAGAGTGAGGGATAGGAATTAAAAGAGACACACACACACACACACGCACACACAGTCCTCTAGTGTTTTGACTGGGTCTAGACAAAGATAAACAAGTGGCTCTGGTAGAATGCTCAAGCCCATGGTGGATTCACCCGAAAGTGACTTCCCATCTTCCATCACTTCACCAGTGTGAGAGCTCAAGGGAAGCCCTAAAAGCCCTCATCCTAAAAGCACGCCTATAAAACTTCCCAGCATGCCCACTTGGTGACATGATGTCTGATTTGGCGGTTAGTGACAGGTGTTGTCTCACCCTTGAGGAATATGACTAGCTTTGCTGACTTTCCGTTAACTTATCTTTCACCATGACGCCTCACTGGCTCTTTGGTGTATCACCTTGTCTGGCATTTTAACACCAATCTCTCATTACCTTGAACTTAAAGCGTGTCTGGGCAAAAATAGGCAATCCAGGATACAAATTTAATAAGAAATCTCTCTTTTTTTTTTGTAAACCATGAATCTTTTGAACATGCATGTACAGTAATTTACATATTTAATACATCCCTGAATAAAAGAGTAGAGAGAGCCGAGTAACGTCGACAGTTTTTCTGCCTCTTAGCAGTCTCCGTGCCCTACTTTCATACGGCTTCTGGGTTTGACAGTACTTTTAATGTTTAATGCCCTTTGATTTGCACTGGAGACACATCAAGGTTCTCAACCAGGCTTGTCACAGAGATGCTTGCTTGCATGATGGAAAGACCTTATATATGCCCCAGAAAGAGAAGGTCGAGAGGAGAGGAAAATTTACACCATAGGCAAGAAAAGAAGATATATCTTCAACCACAGGGAGTCAAAGAAGCCACTGTTTTGATCGATCTGCCCCAAAGATGTGTAACTTTTTTATTTTTTTTTAGCCTGATCAAAAAAAAATCCCACAAATTCTTAACTCGGGTAAAAAAATTCAAAATATATACTCTGGCAAAATTTGAAGTACACCTTCAACATGTTTACTCAAGTTAAAGTTGAAAATATGTTCTTCTTCTTCTTGCATTAGCGGCTGGGGTCGGTTCCCAGGCCAGGAATCGAACCCAGGCCATGGCGGTGAGCGCACCAAGGCCTAACCGCTAGTCCTCCAGGGACCTTAAAGTAGAAAATATTAACTCATATATTTACACAAAGTATCAAAGTAAATGTAGAAGGAAGATTCACAAAAGCTAGACATCTGCCACAGATCACAATTCCTCTTTCCGCAAGGAACGTGGGAAAACTTTAGTTAGCTAAGGCTTACTAACAACATCTTTATTCTTAATCTCTCAAATGTTAGCTAGCATGGTAATAACTCTGATCACGCAAACTAGCCGAATGGTAATAGCCAGCTGTCACAATACAAACTGCCTTAATAAATACAAAGTGTACGTAGTAGCAGATAGGTTACAGTGATGCACATGCCGTTGCTTGTGTTGAAGTGGAGATTTGGTAGCGATTGAGATCAACGCCTTGAAGCTGTCGGATGCTAACAATTCAGCATGTGACTTTGAAAATGGTTGAAAATGTAGGAAGTAGAAAGTTTTCTTTTGAAAGGTGGACGATAAAAGTCAAAAGTGTTACATGAAAGAACAAAAAGTAAAGCGCACGTATTTAAAAAAAAAAAAAAAAACAGACTTAAGTACAGCAACAGAGTAGTTGTACTGTTGCTTCCAACGTCTGAGACTGCTTACGTGAAAACCTTTTTTTTTTTTTTTTTTTTAACTGTCATTGATTTATTTAGTCTAGATTTCCGTGTACTGAGAAACCTCCTGAATTGTCCCAGACGACGATGGGTTCCCAGAAGCATCAATACATCACAGCTTAGCAAACGCTTTGAAGTTGACATTATTATCATACCACCAACATATTAGTTATGCAGACTACATATTCGTGTATAAGACATGCATCTGCGTGTCACCACAGGTTTCTGTGACTGATGTGAGGAATTCCGTTATCCCTGCAGCCGGGGATGTGGGACCTGCTTCCTCTGAGCATGTTGATACCTGTAGGAATTCCCGTGGTTGACTGAGACGTGGGTTTTTGGTTTGGAATTAGAGGGTATGGGAAATAGTTGGTGGTGTGTGTTTTATTTCTCAAAGTTAGAGGTTCTTAGCTGTGTTTATACAGCAGCCTATGTAAATAAAGCAGATTCTTGTCTTTAGGAATAGTTTTTCATGCCATGGAGGGGAAGAAAAAAAAAAATCCAGATGTCTGTGATTGTTGTGAATTCAATTCTTCAAAAAGTTTAGTCATGTCTGTAGTACAGTACAATGCCTCAGTTCCTCCAAAATGCATTGGCAGCTCATTCTTTATTCTGCTTCAACTGCTTTTTGGCTTGGTGTGGTTATAGAAATGTGATAACTAATAAACTTTAGATGACCTGAGCCATCTTTTCATTGTTATTAGACTACATTCACACTAGCAAGCAGCAGTGTCTATGCAAATTTGACGAATCCAAATGAGAGGCTCAAATGATTTCCTGGACCAATCCTGTGGCCTGTGCGGTCCGTCGTTTCTTCAGTTCCCCACTCGCAACTTTAGCTCCTACCTTCAATGAGTTCCCATTTACTATTTAATGCACAAAAACATGCCATAGAAAAACGTAACCATAAAAAAATAAAGCTTAAGAAGCAGTGGAGAGCGTTGGTGCCTCTAACGAGCGTACATATCTAGTAAAGTTAGCTTGCCAATACGTAACATGTAAATCAAACAACCAGTTCTCACATTGATTAGTGCATTACATCATTTGTCTTTAATTACTTAGCTTTAGAAGTATTTACAATTTGGCTGCTACCGGAACAATGCATGACCACAAGCATTAACACTAGAGCTAACAGTTGTTAATAGTTGCTAGACGCCCACAAGAGACATAAAACAAGAGACTTGTCGCTTGCTAGTGTAAACGTGGGAATGCCAACACACGTTAAGTAATCACAGCCCTGGTCATAAATACCTATGAGGACACCGAGGTCCAGACCACAGTAGTTTCGGTAGAGTTTTTTTTTTTTTTCTTAGCTAACCTCCCTTGTTGTATTTCCAGTTGTCAAATCTGGAAACAGTGACATCCTGGTAACGTAGGCGTAGAATGTCACCTATGTGGAAATATTTAACCCAGTAAAATAACCCAGTCTAAATTGAGTCAGAGCAGCTTTTATTTAAGAATGGAAGTATAAGATGCCAGAGATTAGAAATGAGCAAGTTGTGTAGTACACATTTATCATTATGCTGTATGAAAAATGTGGGTCACATTGCTGCAGCCTGGACCTCCATGAAATTTTGATTCTGGTTATGGCCCTGATCACAGTGATTATCATATTTAGTGTTTTTAGGGCTGGTTTTCATTTAGAGCAGTACTGAGGAAGTAGATATCATGCAAATATTGCGCTTTTTGTCTGGAATCTTCCTTAAAAGTCTGAGTCGTTTGTCCATAAACATGTTATTAATGGCACAGGTGTAATTTAAAGGCTGTTTTGGGTTAACGTGGATTTGCTAACAGAGCGCATAACAACAGAAGGCAGCTTTGCTTAGTGCTACAGCACAAAGTCCAGTCTTAAATCATCAGCCTCAGTATGTATATTAGCCTTGGTGAGGGTCAAATTGTTGGCGGTGATAGTAGTGGTTGTGCTTTCATTCCAAACACGCCTGACCTTGTTTATTCACTCAGTATAAAGTGAGAATGGAGGGGGACTGAAGCCTAAATAATGAATAGAGCACCGTCCTGGAGGCCCTTAGCTGCCACTGCAATGCAGGTAGTTTCAGGGAAATTGGGGTCATAAAGGAAAAATGAAAGAAAATAAAGCTTGACGTTTCCTTGTAAGAATGCTGAGTCTTCATTTTAAAAACTCACACTGTCCCTGGCTGCCTGTCATAGGGTTTTGGGCCAATTAAGATGATGATGATGATGATGATGATGATGATGATGTCCCTGGTTATGGATGAGCACAGTTCAGCTGCTGTATAAGATAAGCCTCTGGAGATTAACCATCGGCTGATGTGCTGTCAGACGCTTTTTAAGCATGCAATATCTAGCAGCTCTGCACTAGGGCAAGGATAAAGACACACGTCAATCTGAGGCGCTCTTTTTTTTATGTTTTTTTTTTTTTCCATTGAATTATGATGCTATGATTTCTGAACACGAGTAAAAATTTCTGGTCAAAATCTTCAGTATCGGTTTTCCACTGTTATCTCATGGAGCTTATGATTTCTTTCATAGAGATCATAGAGTGACTTTAGGCCAAAAACTGTGGGGAAAAACTAACAAAATATGTAAAGAACAGAACTTTATAATCATCTCCTAATCAGTCAGCTTTGCCCCAATCTAGTGTAAGCATTTCAGCGTGGTACACCACAGACAAAACCTGTTACGAAGATGCTATCAGAGTCTGAAAGCTGATTTGGTGAGTTTGCTATATTGTACAGTAAATCTTAGAGGATTAGGATTACTTGCTTTGTTATACAGCATTATGGACTTATCAGGGTGCTTTCACACCTACGTTTGCCAAAAGCAAAATTGATACTTTTGGTTCGTTTTTGGTTTGGTGTGATTTCACACTGCATATAAATAAACAAATCGAATAGTGCAAAAATAGTACCTGCAAAACTCTTTCATTGATTGATCAAAAATACAGAGAAGGAAAAAGGTAAATAAACTTTCGGCAAGTGCGTGAAAAATCACAAAATTCACCCTTAATTGGGTTTCACATCCAACATTTGTTTTCCTTTTCAAATATCCAAGACACATCACAGTTCAGTAGCTCTGTCCTCTGGTTCAGTTTGCACCCCATGGCTCAATCTACAAAAAAAAGTACCCTGCACACCAGAATACGTGTTTGGTTCACATCTTTCTTTTGGGTTGAATCAGTTTCTCACTGCATCACTGAACCATTTAGCGCTCACATGGAAACCACCTAGCTCAGATGTTCTCAGACGGGGTTGTTTTGTTCCGTACCTGACTGTGATTGCTGTGTTCTCACCGGCCTTAAGAAGTGGAAAATGCACCAGGATTCCATTCCAATGGACTAAACACTGCATATGTGAAAGCACACATAGACCACAAGTTGGGCACCTTTTTGATCTTAACCTGGCCTTTCAGTATAAGGCCTTCTTGTATGACTTTGAATGACTGACTTCAGGTCATTTGTGGTGGAATAAGCCTGTTTTTATTGATATTTTAAATTGGAGTATTGTAGAATATGTGTGTAGAGAATGTGAGACATTTAAAGATCAGTCTTCTGGTCACTGATTAAGCCTATTTCTGTACGCTCATAGAACATCCTAGAATGTGTGTATTGCCCCATCTGGCTCCACACACACTTAAACCACCTGAAGGGATAGTTAACGAGTTGGCTCAAATGTATTAGAGTAGAGAAAAACTCTGTCTCTCTCCCACACACACACATACAGAAAACCCTGAAAAAAAAAAAGACTAAAAGACAAGACTATGTCTGCAAAGGCACCCTGGAGAAAAAGTACTGTACTTGAAACATCTCTGGATGCTAGAAAGGGCTCATAACTTATAGACAGATGCCCAAAGCTGTGTGGCTTGGCAGACATCCCAGGCTCAGTATATCCACGTTCCACAGGCACGTGAGAGGTGTGTGTGCCGATGCTTTTAAAGCCACTCTCTCACTTCCTTTCTCCACTCAAGCACCCAGCAAACCAAAACCACAGAAGTCTGTGGAAAAAACTTAAGAGGGGTGGAGTGCATTGCGCTTGAAAGGAAAGTGAATCTCGTACTTCTGTCTTTTCTGATTGTGATCAGCCCATCTTCATTGAATTAGACAGAGATTAGATTTCGACAGGATTAGATTTACAAGGGGATCCATGGGGCAATTCCAAAGCAGGTGCTGTTCTGTGAATTTTGTTTCTGTCCAGATTGTCCATGTTGGTGTTTTTCTCCCTCTTCTGACAAAATTACACACCAAATTTCCGCTGTGTTTTTTTTTTTTTTTTCTTCAGTGGTCGGGTAATTTTAGTGTTGTCCATATATATACCTCGGTGATTTTGCAGGCTGGTGCATTGGAATTTTTGTTGACCGCTGTTACTTGCCATATTATTTATATTAAACTCTTTCTGAAACAATCAGAAGCACACGAGCCAATAGACGTATTTA